TTGTGATACTTTGTGATACCTTGTGATGCCTTGTGATACCTTGTGATACTTTGTGATACTCTGTGATGCTTTGTGATACTCTGTGATACCTTGTGATACTTTGTGATACTTTGTGAAACTTTGTGATACTCTGTGATACTTTGTGATACTTTGTGATCCCTTGTGATACTTTGCGATACCTTCTGATGCCTTGTGATACCTTGTGATACTTTGTGATGCCTTATGATACTTTGTGATGCCTTGTGATACCTTGTGATACCTTGTGATACTTTGTGATGCCTTGTGATACTTTGTGATACCTTGTGATACTTTGTGATGCCTTGTGATACTTTGTGATACTTTGTGATACTCTGTGATACTTTGTGATACCTTGTGATACCTTTGTGATTCCTTGTGACGCTGCGTGTTTTAAAGCCTTGTACTTATACTAGAATTCGTGGACCAAATTTGTGTCACCTCACATGATAAGTGAATTGAAGAACAGACCGGCATGATACTGGGGTTACGTTACTAAAAACCCAGGTTAATAAGGTATAGTGATTGTGTGAGCATGTGATGCGATCACAAACTTTGTGTCCTTAATCAGTTGTCCCCAAATCGTGCACTGTATACAAGTGAAAGTTCTTTTCCTGAAAAAATTTAAAGTATGTTGACGTGGAATTTAACATTCACATTTATTTTATTTATTTATCTATTGCCACTAGACACAGGTAACTTTTCTGTGTGTTAAACAGTGTTGATCATTCCACTGCCATGGCCACACAGTGCTATCTTCGTTTTTTGTCTACAGTGTTTTCAAACAAAATCAGGATGAAGTGTTTGATAAGGTACGTTCTGTTACTATATTAAAGGTTTTTTGTGTTGTCAGTAGTAGTTTCGCTATTAAGTGCAAAAACAAGGTACATTATAGTCACGACAACCCTTTTTTATTTTCTTCGTATCAATAATAACTAGTACGCCAGGCCAATGTTTTGTAACAGAGAAGATTCATTGTCGGACTTAAAACCCCAACTGAATTTTAAATACATTTTAAATAAAAGAGATGTTTTGTTCGTTTGACCAGCTCAGGCTTTAGTATGGGAACGAGAGGTTGCTAAAATCTCAGCTATAAATTCATTATGTGATCTGCTTACTAATGGATTAACAACGTGTCCTTCCACATCCATTGAACATTAATGCAAATTAAAAATCCCACACATCAGTCCAGGTTAAATTTGGGTGATGTTGATTTTTGTAATAATTTTTAACCTTTGATTTTATTTAGGCGGATAACAGCCCTGTCAATTCCCCAAACGCTAAAAAATTAACAGGTAGTTTTAAAAGTAATTAAGCAGCTGGTAATTGTTGGATATGCAAGTTTGGGAGTGCTAATAGACCCTTCCAAGGTTTTTTTAACATTTGACATGGACCAGTTAGTGAAAATCCTTTGACACCACTGGACAGAGCACCTTCAAATTAGTAACATGGGCAAGGTTGCAAAAATTTATAGACGTTTGTAAACTTGCCCCCACCATACAAACATCCGTAAAATTTCGTGACTTCGAGGAGCTACATCTTCGTTACTTTTTGACAAATCACTTTCAAACTTGGTAATTTTTTCTTTCAAGGCGCTCTTTCCAGTGGTGAACGTTTTTGGGTGATGCAAGAGTTGGTTAATTTCCTTTTATTATTATTTTTTACATATATACAGCAAAATGTTAGTGCGGGAGGAAATCGCGTTTGTAAGGCGAGCAATCGAGATAATCGACACGAGTGAGGAAGAGGAGGACTCTGAGGATAGTCAGCACGTACCTTGAGTGACAGATAATGATAACTTATACAGTATTTAATAAGTACGGACATTTAGGGTGATTCTCCAGCTAATATACAAACCGTTCGTTCTCCAGTCAGTTCATTCGCGAGATAATCATCAACTGTAGTCCAAACATTTTTATGTTGACAGTCAGTGGTCTCGATTTTAAAGTGACAATTTTCTAAATAAACTACAACCGTAGAAAAACGCCGTTTTACAGTACTTTTTCTTCCCCCAAAAGCGACGTTATACATGAAAATGGCTGTTTAAGGAAGTAAGTCTCAAGATCAAGGTACTCTACATAGTTTATATTACCCAAATGAGCCACTCAGGTTCCATGATTGTTCTTAGCGCAAGCAGTTTAAGTCATTTTTATTGTTCCTTGTTCCATCCAAGTTGTAGCGAGACCAACTAAAGTTTTCCGACTTT